AATGGTCACACATTACAAGATTAAACACTACTTTCAAAATATGTGGGGTGGAAGTGGCAACACATTCCTGTAATCCCAGCTCTCCTGAATCTCAGGCAGGAGGATCACAAGTACAAGGCCAGCCTGGGCAACTTAGCAGGACCCTGTCCAAAAAAAGAAGAAAAGATCTGCAGCAGGAAAGTCCTGGGTGTGGAACTCAGTGGCCGCACAATGCTGTGCAAGCACTCCGCCACTAAGCTACATCCTCACCCTTTTAAAATTTTTGAGACAGGGTCTCCCTAAATTGGCCAGGCTTGCCCTTCTTCCTGGGTTCTGGGTTCAGCTTCGTCTGTTTTTCTCAGTGCAGGTCTGGCAGCACTCACCTCTGCAGAGCAGTGGAAGGGAGGGAGGAAGGCCACAGGATGGGGACAGGCCCTGGGCCTGATGGGGGACCTCAGCCCCTCCCCACTGGTCTCTCTTCCCCTCCTCTGCCCACCCCACTGCCCTGAGGTGAGAGTTACGCTCTGCTGTTCACCCCCACCAAAATCGGCCTCACCACAGGCCCAGAATCTTGAGACCAAGAGAACATGGATGAAATCCCTTGAAACTGAGCCCAAAGGAATCATTCCTTCTTTAAGTCACTTATCTCAAGTATTTCATCACGGCAATGCAGAGCTGACAGATGCACGGAGGCTGCTACTACAGAACACCAACTCACCTGCATCACTGCAAACCGCCGGCCTAGCTTGTGTCGTTGGCAAGCACATTCACCACTGGCAGCCAGGCTGTGTAGCTCTTGGTAGACCAAGAGGTCTGAGACGAATCCTTGTGAGGGACCGGGTCTCCTCTCCAAAGCTCTTGGTTCCTTCCAGACCCTCTCTTGCTCATCTTCTCTGTACCGTGACTGAAACATATGGTGAAAGTTTAAATTTAAAAACTTTTTTTTTTTTTTACGGTAAAAGGCACATTGCCATTAATCCCTTCAGGTTTCCCCCCTCTTCAAACACACTTATCCTGTTGTTATGGCCACTTTCTGAAGCAGTTTGTTCTGAAGTCCTCGTTTTTGCATTCGCTTGTGCTGCCAAGGCTGCTCCCACGTCCCGAACAATTCCAAACGCTTACCTTTCGTGGTGATTTTGCCCTGGGGAAGAGCCAGCCTTTGCACAGTACCAGACCTGGTGAATGAGATGAGTGAGAACACACTCATGTTTTTCTGCTGGATGACACTCAGCGGCAGCGCACAGTATAGTTTTGATCATATCTTTTTTTATCATATAAAGACATGCATGGGGTGGGAAATGTATCTTGGCAGCACTGTGCCTGCCTGGCAAGCGCCAAGTCCTGAGTTTGATCTCTGGAACAGGAAAATAAATAAAGACATGACAAGAAGGGGAGTATTTTCAGGGAGATTAATGATGATGTGTCATTTACTGTAATACATTTTTTTAAAATTTAAATATTCACTATAATTGCAATCATCCTCTGTAGATCCGTAGGGTCCCCTTTCACCCACTGTTATTAACCACTGTTTACTAGCTAGCAATTACATTAAATTTGGGCCGATGACTTAGCTCGGTGGTTCTGCCATCTGCCTCACAAGCCCAAGGTCCCGAGTTTAATCCTCAGTGCCCCCAAAACAAACAAACGATATATCTATAGATATATCAAATTTAACTGTTCAAGTTACAATTTCTGCCTCCTGATAATACGACCCACGAGTTCATCACTGGATGGAGAGCTAAAGTGCTATGCTATTTAGCAGCAAAGGGTAATGAACCTCTGGATGCAATGCAAACAGGTAAATGGCTGTCAAAAATGTGCTGAACAAAACATGCCAGACACAAAGACTCCGTGGTGTGTTACTGCACTTACAGGGAATCCTGGACTGACCAGAGGTGATTACCTGGGGCCGGGGAGCGGTACGGGGAGACTGGATGCCAAGGATAAGGGGAGCTGTATAGGCTGAGGAGTTTATATTCTGAGAGA